TTTATTCTATAATTATTAATTATCCTATATAATTAATAAATTATTATTTTATTTAAAAATTACTAAATATACTTTAATTTTCTAGGCAAATTTGCCTGGATTACAGTTTAAAGGATAATGATATTAAAAAAAATAAAAAAATAATATTAAAAAACAAGTGTGAAAACTTATAATAATATTAAATAATTCAAAAATTTTACATTCAACTCTCCTCAACAATCACTTGTATTAACCAGTCTCTGAAAGCAAGTTGAAAACTCAAGACCAGAAGTAAACAAATAACTTGAAGTTTTCTTAATACAAACTGTTATCGACGAAGTTTTAAATGTAATATACCAAGAAGCATATATTTTGGACAGTTTGCAAAGAGATCAAGCTTCTTCTTCTCTTGGACAGACTCCTTTTTGCGTTTAGTATCCAAACTGGAGAAGTCTCTGGGAACAGTAAGTAGAAGGAAGACTTAAGTTATTTTGAGAACAAAAGGCTATTAAGAATTTTTAGAACAATACTCTTTGGTTAGAAAACTCACAAAACTACACTTTTCTTTTGCCATTTTCTTTTTTTCATATTTTTCAACAAAAAGTAGAGGATTTGGTTACCTTCTCCAAAAGATTAGCATTGTTTACATTTCTATTTTTGGAAAGCCTCAAGTTACAATATGACAAATAAGGAACACAACAATTACGTGTAAGGAGAAAGTTCAGTTTAGGTTAAATCGAAATACATAGAAAGTCCTGTGTTTGGATCAGCATTGACTGTATAGGAATGAATACCTTATGTAACAGACCTAAGAAAGTAGCTTCTAATAATGCTAGTTGATTATAGGGAAGACCTTCTGTTTAATCTTGTATAGTGAAGAAACAAGGTTCAAAGTGAAGACTATAAAAAGATTTTAGAAAAGAGCAGCCTGTTATAAATAGAACCAACGATCACATGTCAAGGCTTTAAAATCAGCATTCTAGAATTCAAAGTGGATTTTATAAGAGTTGTAAACTGGAGCAATATAATAGAGATATACAATATTCCGAGGTCATATGCATATAATTTTTAGCCTTTAGTACAGATTAAAGTACATATTAGTTATAATTTTTTTTGTCAGATAGCTTTATATATAGATTTTTACAACTATATAGATAGTTTTTTATTTGGTTAGCAGGTTTTTATATCTGTAGATAAGTTTTCTTAGATTTTAGAATAGTTTTTTAGATTTCTTTATAGTTTGGTTGTTTTCATATATGTTTCTTTTTTTACTTTCCCTATTTTTATTTCACTCTTATCTTTTTTTTTTCTTTTTTACTTCTCTATAAGAAAGTATCATTAGATTGGTAACACTCTATTGTAGAGCAGTAATTCTGACAAGGTTGGTGACTGCTATCTGTTGATATTCGGAGCTCATATCCTCAGAAAGTTGGGGATCCTGGAAGGAAAAAAATTATTACTTAGGTGAGTCGCTCCTGGGTCATACTCTAGTGTAGAATTTTGACTTGCTAAAATTTTATTGTGATAATAAGACAGACCAAGAGAATTTTTATTTGTACAGGCATATAGTAATTTAGTATTAGATGGTAGGTTTAGCTAACTGAATCTTGTAGTATTTTACTGCTGATATAAAAAAATAAAAGTAGAATCGCTGAAGTAAAAAAAAATAAATAAATAATGTTAAATAATTATACTTTTAAAATGTTGTTTATAAATTGTTAGATATTAGATATTATAAAAAATTTTTACTTTTTTGTTGAACTTTTGAGCTAAGCTACAATTTAGCAAATTACTAGTAAATATATAATAAAAAAATAGGTTTGAAGAATGTACTACCTGTTATATAGAAATTTTAAGAAATTTTATTTTTTTAAAAAAATTTTTTCATAATAATTTTATGGAATTATATACATGTACCCAAAGATATATAAACCCGCATTATGTGACCTATATAGATCCTTACCAAAAGTCAAATCAGATGTAATATTACATGATCAGGAAAATTTAAAACAAATGTTCGTTTTGACAAAAATTGCTTATTTTACAAGAAATTGTATATTAAACCATCTTTTGTGCATTAATAAAAAGTTTTCCTTGAGCAATTTTACTATATAATTGACTAAACCCAAATCCTAATATAATTCTCACCCTAACTCTAACCTAATATAAACCATATCGATATTACTGTAATCAAAATAATGGGTACAAAAAATTTAATATACCCTACAGGTACATCTACATTAACTCTAATTTTATTAATAATTTTTAAAAAAAAATTTGCCAAACTATTCTTTGACAATTATCAGATTTTTGTATATAAAAATTATTTAAATATATAATTTTTAGATTTTTAATTTATTTTTTTAAACTGTACTACAGGTAGTACAAAGGTATAAATCCAAACCATTAATATATAACAGTGAAAAAACATAATACACTTACACGTAAAGACAAACAAAATCACTTCGAAAAGTGGCACATCTTTAGAGACTAGAACCACGGGTATAAGGTTTGCGATGAATGCAACCATCATTCACATCTATATTGTAAGACATGCAAAAAAGTAGTTGAGGGAATATATAAGCGATGTGAATGTGGTAATTCTCTAAAAGAATCTATTATGTTCTTGAATAATTAAATACGTAATATATCTGTCGTGAAGTTAAGATCTGCCTGAAGTTGGAACTTCACGTTTAGCTGACTGAAGTTGCACCTGCCTAAAATAGCTAACTAATGCGTGCAGGATGATCTAATTTCAGGGGCTAATTTCATTCAAACTTCAGTCACGATATATCGATATCTAAAATCAAAACAAATCGTATTTACTGTGGCTCGTATAACCATGACACTAGTATCATGCTCTCATTTCTCAGTCAATATTACAATGATGGATAAAGTAAATAAATTAGAACGAACTGAATTTCTCTTTAGTAAGAACTCTAACCTGAACAAAAATTAAATAGTCTATTTTTTTGAATTTAAAAATTTCATAAAATACGCTATCGCTATGTATACTTCGATATAACACCACCAAGTCATTATGGTTTTCTAGAGTTTTATCAATATCATAGTAAACAAAATGACTTTACATTTTCATTTCAAAAAGAAGCAAATACTTTAAAAAAATCTGAAAACAATTTTAAATAATAATAGTAATTCAGAAATAATTGAAAGAGTCAAAGTTTTAAAGGAAAATTTTGGGGTAATGTAAATATCAATATTTTAGTAGTAGGATACTCCCCTTCCAAGACTGAGAAATTGAGTGGCCCAGGTTTAACTCCTGGCTGTTAGACTTTTTGTAAAATGTTTTTTTTTGTGACAAGGCAGTATAGAAGATTCTTAGAGTCTAAAACTCACACAACTATGGTGGGCTTCTTGCGCGTGGCTCGCTTTATAATCTTGCGTGTTTGTTGTGGTCTACAGAAATGTAGTATGAGAATCTTCTAGCAGTTCTAAGAACTCTGACAACTACGGTGAGCTTCTTGTGTGTGGCCCGCTTTATGATCTTGCATGTTTGTTGTTGTCTGCGTAGTCAGTAACTATTTTTTATAGTATTTATTAAATTCATATTTTTGCAGAATATTCCGAGAAGTTGACAAATTCTGGAACGATATTGAAAAAGAATATATTGTAACTGTTGATGAGAGAGCTTAGTGAAATATTATGGGATAAGTGCCAATTTAACTCCAACAGTATATGGTGAGATAATGATAACTTGGAGAAGCAAAGGAAGTCTTTTATAACTAAGAGAAGGCTAGTTGGATAATAGGATGCTATACTTCAATATCGATAGGGGATGATTAGGGGTAATGCAACTACAGGTGATGCTGTTAAGGGTGATAAAAAAGGGTAATCTTAGGGACTATGATGAATTAACCAGGTCGAATATCTTTGTAAGTGTCGTTCTCTACTACAATTCCACAAGTCACTAATGTGAATGACAATATCTGATTCTACAAACGTTCTAGAATCTGAGTCTTAATAATCCAAATTGAAGTTACAAATCAATTCAGTCCGTCGAATTGAGCCTCAAAAGGGTTTATTAAAGTTACAAGTTGAATTCAGAGAATACTTTACAAGAAAAATTTAGATACGTATACACTTTATTATTTAGTGGTAATTAAAGGTAGACCTGAAAACTAACTTTTCTTTATTGAATGTAGTGTGCTTATATACATTTTGAAGGTTTAGAACGTTTACGCTATAATCTAAATATTTACGCTGAAATTTGAGCGTATGCAAAGAAATCTTAGCGTAATCTATTAAAATTCATGTAAACATGGTATAATTTTTAGAGCGCAAGCATTAGTGTAATCATGTTTACGCAAAGATCTCAATGTCTACGTGATGTATTTGATTTTTATACCACTAAGCCATTAAGCCACTCATTATTATTACCATTTTAGTATAAGTTATGAAATAATCAAAAGAAATTAATAAATATACTAAAATTGGACATTGTTACCAACACAGATGGGTATTACTAATAAGCTATGTACATGCGAGTAATTTACCAAGAAAATAAAGATTTATTTCCGAAAATGAAAAAACCAAAATTTTATTCGTAATAATATGAATGAAGAACTTAATATAGAGAGAAGAGATTGCAGTTAGATGAGGTAAATATTGTATTTTTATCACTTTTTGGTTGATATTATTAATAATGAAATTTTGGATTCTAGTTGAAAATGGCTTGTGTGATAGCTCAAGGGGCTTCGAAAGTGACTGCAATGGTAATGGAAAACATTGATGCAAAGTTAGTATGATTTAATTTTTATATAGTATGGTCAATAGATATAATAACTAATGTAGTTATTATGTTTTATCTGATACATCCAAACGTTCTAATGAAATAGAATGTGAAACAGCTAACAAGGTTAGTAAAGGATAAATCTATGCTTAGTTGCAAAAATGCTTCACACATTCACTACTTTCGAGATGTGGCAGATCAAAATAACCAAAGATCCATCTACACTTGCTTCTTCTACCAGTTGCGATGATAAAACTGAAGAACAAGATAAGCAAATTGAAATCTATCTTGTTGATATTAAGAAACAGTTAGAAATGGAGCTATTAATTGAAGTACGTAGTATTGAGCTTTTGATTATTTGCCACATTTTTTATACTATTCACATAACTTAGTGGAAAGTTGGCAATATAAACATCACACAAAAGTTTCGTCAGTATCAACAAAGTATCATTAACAAGGTGGTAAGCTATGGATTGAAGTGAAATAATTCATATAAGATTTTGTAAATATTATGGGACAACATAGAACTGAAGAATAAAATTCATTCTTATTACTCTAATTAAATTTATATTTTGTGATTATGCTTTAGAACAATCACATCAATTATTGTTCTTTTCTGACCATGCCCGTATTTAAAGTTTTTTACCAACTGTAAATAGAATAAGTAACTTGACCAACCCATATGTGATCTGGCATCTTGTAATACCACTATCAATCTCAACAGTTTTTCAAGAAATTACAATGCTGTTGCTCGCATATTCAATGATTTTATATTGACTTTACATCTTTATTGCTAATTTGAAAAGGAATTCTGATGACATATTACTTAATTTAATATATTATAGATATGGTATTTCTACCCATTCTCTGATCAAAATTTCTGAAGAATTGCATTGTGATAAGTTTTTATATCCTTATATAAACTCTTTGTTTTTTAGATGCCTTGCAGAATATGAAGTTCAACTTAATCGTACTGTATGTGATACAAAAAAATAGCCTGACTTTTTCTGTGTTGTTGATGATATATCTATACTTAATTTTGAGATTAAACCTCTTGGAGTAACACTACTTAGAAAGAAGAAAGATTTTGCAAAAGTGCACTTAATAGCAAAAAATTAGTAAATCAACAACTAAATCTAAAAGAAGTTCTAAGTAGTAGAATTACTAATAAATATGGGTATTATACAATGAATTGTTGGCTTATTTATTTATATATATTTCTAAATCTAACATATTTAGATAATCTAGATAATGAAGTTGAATCCTTTTTTATAGACTTTAAATATAGATTGTAATACTCGTGACCTTTTTATAAGACTAGATTAGTGATTAACAAAGCCTCAATGCTATTAATAGAATTAAATTTTTGTTATTTTGTAGTATTAGAGGTGTATATAGTTTGTTCTATTTTAATCATAATTTAGTTTATGATGAAAATCTATTATTATAAAGCTTAAATTAGAATTCTTATTTATAGGAACAAATAAATAAACTTGCTGGGAATTTTAAAAATACAATCAACCATTCACACCACCTCTACAAATAAAATTTATAACTGAATTTTTCAATTTTCTACAACTTAAGTAGTTGCTTGAATTATCATATATATAAAGCAAATATCTATCTTGTTTATACTATACTAATGCATAGATATTATAACTATGAAATTTAGATTTCTTTTTGCACATATACCTAAAAATAATAAAATTTCTAATGTTTTAATATAATAAAAGTTTATAATTTAGCTATTATTTATAGGTATTATGAATAGTTGTGATGTATGGTTTAGCAAAGTAGTAGTGTATGCTGCAAAGAACATATTTGAGTATAAAAAATAGCATACTATACTCAGAATATATATTATATATAAAATAATATAGTCATAAATAATTTAATTATATCGATATGTGGGCTTATGAAAATTTATTATTACATATAATAAAAATCTTGGTTTTTGTAAAGCAACTATGTACAATCCTGTAAAATCTTGATTTTGTGAGAGCATACTTACAATCTTTTGTTAAACTCGCATCTATTAAATGTTTTTTTATAGTAAAATTAAAAGTTTTACAATATATTTAATTAGTGTTAACAAAAATAATTGCTTTTTTAATTCATTTGTTTTTACAAGGAATTTTTTTTTTTGAAAATAGTAATAGTTTTTGAACTTTTAAAATAAAATATTTTCAATTCATTTGTTCTGAATATCTTGAAGTGACATTCTTTCTAAAACAATCTTTCAGGATTTAATTTGCTGATTTTAATTTTTGTTCCTTTTCAAGATTCACTAATTCAATTGAATAAACTTTTGCTTCATGTTTTCTTAAAGCCAGTGCATATTCTTTTAATACTAATTGTTGTTCTTGATATTTAAGTTTATTCATTGTTAGGCTTTCTTTATTATCTTTTTCACTTGAATCTTCAGAATTAACTGCAATTATTTTGGATTTTTTTAGATTTTGTAGACTTTTTTCGCTTATTTTTGGTCAATTTTTTTTGAACTTTCACTATTAATTTAATAAATATAAATAAATACACTAATAAATACATAATATAAAAGTAAATTGTTGCATACCTTTACATTTAATTAATAAATCATTATGACTAACCAAGCCTTTATCTCATCCGTGACTTAATATATTATATTGTTGATAAATATTAATTGCGATAAATTTTTCCTGATTCAACTTGCGTTCTCTACATAATCACAAATGTTAATTATGCTTATAAAGGTTAAAAAAAAAAATCAAATTTACTATAAAATTACAGATATCAATTTTAAGTTTTTCTCATGTTGATTACTTAATATATGAGCAGATTCTGTGATATTTGTGATAATATCTAAGTTTTCTTATCAATCTGTGATATGCATTTGTTAAGTGATGCAATAACCTATTTTTGATAATAAAATGAAACCCAATTTAATATATATATATATAATGATTATTTAAATATATACCAATATATATATTTTTAATACTTCATATATAAATCAAAAAATACTAACCTGTCATTTTTTCAATTTTTCAATTTTATCAAATAATTGATTGATTTTATTCTCTGATTTAGCTATAAGCAGTGCAAGCATATCATTACTTAGAGCGTTATCATATCGTTTTTCTAAAATTTTTCTAGAAATACAAAATAAATCAATAGATCCTGATTCTGATTTGTAATTAAAAATAAATGAAGTATCGACTAATAAT